CTCCCCGGCTTTGTTGCAGTGTGCTAGCCCCTTTTGCCTGCCCCCTCCCCAGTTTTCACTGCAGTAGTTGTTTGTGGTTTTGTTGGGTTTACTGTTATAATTTGTATATATTCTCGAGATTATATCTTTTCCTTTCCTTCCTGTCCCTCCTTCAACCTCTCCCATGGACCCCAGCCACTCTTGTAAATTAATGGCCTCTTTTTCTTCAGTCGTTATTACATACGTCTGTGCGCACACACGTTCCTAAACACATAAACACAACCTCTCTGGCATTATTTTGTGTCTCGCCTTCCTTTGTTCCTTGTCGCATTGGACCTTCCATTGTAGCAAGTGGCTGTGCTCTGCCCAACCGTCTAGATCACTGGTTTGTGGCTGACCGATGTGGAAAGGCTCACCTGAACCCCCCTCCAGCTGCAGAAAGCCTCTGTCTGGTGCTGTGCTCATTTCCTGCTCTGGCCGTCCCGTGCCCTCTGCACTGATTGCTGATGCTGTTGTGTCTACCCTACCTTGTTATTCTCAAGTCCTCTGGACCTCTAGGCACCCCTCTTCCCTTCACTATGAAAACAAGAGGTCATTCCCACCCTGCTGACTCACGTTCTCTGGTCCCCACTGCCTCCCCCCAGTACTTGAGGGGAGGCTGCAGGGCCACCAGCATTCTGGGCACACCCAAGTTCATGGCCTGGCAGTTGCTTGTTCCAAATCCCAGCACTATCTGAGTAACACCAGTCTCCTCTCAGCCTCCCTTCCCTCGCTCAGGCTTGTTTTGTCTTTTAACCCACTGGATCTGCTCAGTACATCGGTATAGGCCATCTACTGCAACATGGGCAACCTATCGGGCCTCGTTCCTGTAGAAAACTGCCTGGAGAGATGGCTCAGTGGTCAAGAGTATTTGCTGTTCTTCTGGAGGACCCACGTTTGGTTCTAGTATCCATGTCCAACAGCCTACAACTGCTTCTAACTCTGGCTGCAGGGGATCTGATACCCTTTTCTGGTTTGGCTAGTGAGTGCATGCACACACGCATGCACACATGCATGCATGCATGCATGCACACATGCACACACATGCACGCACACACGCGCACACACATGCGTAAATAGATAATTTTAAATTAATAATCTTTAAAAAGATAACTGTCTCCCTGACTCCCACCTGCAGACATCAGTGGCCACTAACTCCTCAGCAAGGGTGGAACTTCCGTGAATTTGATCAAAACACATTATATGCATGTATGAAAGCCTCAGATAATAAGTGAAAAAAAAACTATACAAAAGTAAATTCTAAACAACAACAACAAAACCTAACTAGCCTCTCTGCTGCCCTGAGGCACACCTGCACACCTACAGCTACACCCAGCCTGTCTTCATCTTGGTCCTTTCTCTTCGCTCAGGACCAGGCCGGAGAGGGAAGATTTGCTCTTTCAGCCACACAACACATCCGCCTTGCTTTCCTAAACAAAAGAATACATTCACACTGAGATTCACTCCACACCTCCTTCAATATATGGAGTGCTTATTCCGACAGCAGAGATTTTTTTTAAAAAAAATATCATTTCTTCCTTCCTGATTCATTATTTCTTGGGTATTTTATGAAACTCAAATTGCCAGTATGAGTAAATGTGCCTTGTAAACCATCTCAGTTTCACAGATTAAAAAAAGAAATGACTGACTGCTGTCATACAGTGAAACATCGTCTGTGCTTTATAGCCTTTAGGAAGGAGAGCTGAGTGTATAGACTATTAGGTTTTGAGTTTGTAACCAGATTCTGAGAACTGAGGATAGCGTGGCCATATATAGACTTTTACTGGTGGGAAGCCAGTGGCCTCCAGCCATCTTGCGAGAGTAGGGACTGCAGTGGCTGGAGATGTCGCTGACGTGGTCGAGTGCCTGCCTGGCATGCATAAAACCCTGAATTTGAGCCCATCAATACATAAACCAGGTGTGGTGCCCATGCCTATAAGCCTTGCATTTGGGATGTGGAGGCAAGAGGATTAGGCGTTCAAGATCATCCTAAGAGGTATAGGCCTACATTGCTAAGCAGCAAGTTCAAGGCCAGCCTCGAACCCATGAGAACCCTATCTCAAACAAAAACAGGTTGGAGGGGGCTGTAATCCTAGGTACAGATTTCCCTGGGGTGTCTGAAAGAGGGAAGGGAATATCTCTAAAAGAGAGGGGGAGTGACGGCTGAGCCCTAGAGGTGGCCCTGGAACACACCTGCCATGTCAGCAGGTATACCTGGGACCTCAGGAGAGGCGACCCAGGCCTTACTCCTGCCCCGTCTACTCACAGAGCAAAGGTCTCTCGGCCCTCGTCACATCTCCTGTCTGTTCCCATTGCTCATCCACCTATGGCCAGGCCTCTGACAAGTGCTCTCCTGTGTTGTGTCCAGGGACAGGGTGCCTTGTCGGAGAGACTACGGAGCTTCAGCATGCAGGACCTCACCACTATCCGGGGTGATGGTGCCCCTGCTCCCACCGGCCCCCCTCCACCAGGGACGGGGCGGTCCAGCGGCAAACACGGCCAGCCCAAGATGTCCAGGAGTGCTTCCGAGAGCGCGGGCAGCTCAGGTAGGTCTCTCCACTCTCCCGTCTCACTTTGGGCCTCATTAAGAGGCGCAGTGCTGGATCACACAAGGGTGCCCCTTGCCCCATGGGCCTGTCACCAACAGAGATATTTGTTAGATTATACCGGACCAGATATGGCACATAGCCACTCAAGAAGCAGGCCTGGGGACTGGGCCTTGGGCAGGGTAGGTTACTAGTGCTAGAGAGTTCTTCCTTCTTCATCATTATCGGAGGGACCCGAGTGTTGGGTGCTTGTGCCTGGGCCAAGTCAGGAGCAGGAAATGTAGTCTGGGCCATGGGAGCACTTTCTATTCTCTCTGGCCCCACACTCAAACCTCATGACCCCCTGAGCATCTTCTCCCACTCCTCAGAGCTGGTGACTCTTCCCACAGGCATGTTCTCCCTCTCCTATGTCTCCACTTCATCTTTGACTACCTACACACTATGCATGCCCACAGCCTACATCTACCAAGGACCACACTAGGCCTGTGGCCCAGTTCCCAGGGAGGCCAAGTCCACCCAGTATCGGAAAATCTACCTCTTCTGTTTAACACCGTGGTTAAGTACTTGGCACGAGACTGCCCGTATGGGACGCGACCAGGAACCTTGTTTAACGTGTGGAGTCTTGGGCCTGTCTCCAGAGATCTCAGTAGGTCTCGGTGAGACCCAGCTGTGTAGTTTGGGGTGTGAATCCAGTATCTAATCTATCCGTGTGGACTTGGAGCTTCTGGATGTCAGTATTTGGGCTGGGAGCTATCAGTTTCCAAGATGGATCCTTAGATGACAATGACTCCAGGAGCAGAGCTGAGTTGCTGACAGAAAATGGTGGACAGC